ATAATTTTACGGGTATCATTTTTATTATACGATGTTACGAGTATTCCTTCACTAAGGAAGTCAATCGTGAACATTTGTTAAGTACGTTTTTCATTGGAAAAATTGATACCTGCCGGCGGGATTCGAACGCCGATGCATCGCTACATACAAATGCACCGGACGTCTTATCCTTTAGGCTACGACGACTAAAATTACAAAGGTACCAATAGGCCCAACAAACAAGACTAACTAAGCAAAAAAAAAACGCCAGCAATACGGTTGTAATAGGTAATTTACCATTTAATTATTGTAATTCACTGAAACTCAATGTCATTAGAATAACAAAACTAACATAAGCTATTTATAAAACTTTATCGTCGCCTTGACTGTGCGTCTTCTGGATTTATAGACCACATCGAGGTCGCAGTCACTTAAATAACATTACAATTAAATACACAATATGCTTGAATACAGTACGCAAAAGGAAACTTAATTTTGATTTTGACAAAGTATTTCTTAAAAAATTAAACATTTTGGTTTGAAAATAGTCTTAAGCGATGGGCAGCCGTTCAGCTGATGTCCATGAGCATAAGGATAAATAAAGGTCAAATGTTACGATGAACAGAGTGATTTAATTAATATTAAATTAGTTATGCCATCCAAGAGCCACAGCTAGGGTTCGGGTTGAAGAGATGGGTTATGGAGTATGGTCTTTAACTTAATCTGGTCTACGAAGGCTTAATCACCTATGCCTTTACGCATCTGTTACTTAGTTGTCCCCTCTCTCTCAGTTCTATCGCACCTTTTCAATTTGAATATTTGTCACGATAGACTTTCGTCCAATCCAATAGAAACATCTATCTGTCTATGAATTTGTACGATAATTTCTCGATATAAATGCGTTGATTAGCGTTACAGTATTCGAAATGCGCGCAAATAAAGATTTTAAGAATGAATTGCGTAAATTTAATTGGATTAAAAAAAAAAGATTAATAATAGACAAAATGACGAGAATCCAAAACTGATTGGAAAAAAATTGTAAAAAAACATGTTATGATTTTAATTGTGCTTGATTTGTGCGTTTTCGTCATTGTGCAAGAATAATTGAACCATTACCTTGTCGGTGTGATACTTACTAGTCTTATCTATTCTGATTTCACAAAAACAATGCTGAAGTTAGTTTAATATAGTAAAAATTGAAATTTATATAGGGAAGATGGTTGGCGCTTAAGCCTTGTTCGGACTAGGCGAGTATTTTAGTCGAGTACCGAGTAATTTAGTAGCTAAATGTGTCTGAACACCAAAATTTTAGTCGAATAGGTTAGTAAATAATTTAGCTAAGTCAATCCATTTTTTTATATTTTTATCGGGCGAGTAGCGAGTAGTTTAGCCACCAAATTACTCGGTACTCGACTAAAATACTCGCCTAGTGCGAACAAGGCTTTATGGCACACTCGTGATCATCCTATCGAAGGATGAGAAGAGGAACAAAATGCTAGATTTCAAGATACTGTTGACTTCTTCTGTGTGTAAAGAAATAAAATATCAACATTGAATATATCACACTCAACGGAACCTGGCTACGATAATTCTCCTGCGTTATGGTACCGGAGACGTATAACAACTTGACGAAAGAAATGAGAGGATGGTGGTACCTACCCGTGCGGACATTTAGTATTCCCCGTGGGCGATCGCAGTATGCCCGTATAATACTCAGAGAACGAGATAATACGCAATCGCTTTTATGGTACTCTCCAGAAGGGATGTTTTTTTGCTATTTAAGGCCAGAACCACGCGTCTAACGACGTATACGATTAATAAATTCCTCAAAAAATCTACTAAAAGCTATACTGTTAACTTTAAAATTAATGTTTAACCTTTTTTGATCCATTTTACATTTCTAAATACCTCTGAGAATTCTACCTAGTATTTATAATCACAACTTGAGTATTAGGATTTACAGACTAGATATTAAATAATTATGTAAAAACGAAAAGGAAAGTTGAGTGACTCAGTTTCACTACATTTGATATGGAACTGAGTTTTATTGATAAGCTTATCAGCAGTATCAAGTAGGTTGATATGATCGGCATCCTTATCAAGTTTACAAGAATCATATCTAGTAATTTCAGGAAGACAGAAAAAACATATTACGTTCTACAATAATTTATAGCCGCTTACGTCAACAAATAAATCTTTTTAGCGCCAAAAAACTATAGCAAAACTGGAAGATTCGACTTGAGGAAATTTTTAGACTCGACTTGAGGAAATTTTTAAGTACTAAAATNACTTCTTCTGTGTGTAAAGAAATAAAATATCAACATTGAATATATCACACTCAACGGAACCTGGCTACGATAATTCTCCTGCGTTATGGTACCGGAGACGTATAACAACTTGACGAAAGAAATGAGAGGATGGTGGTACCTACCCGTGCGGACATTTAGTATTCCCCGTGGGCGATCGCAGTATGCCCGTATAATACTCAGAGAACGAGATAATACGCAATCGCTTTTATGGTACTCTCCAGAAGGGATGTTTTTTTGCTATTTAAGGCCAGAACCACGCGTCTAACGACGTATACGATTAATAAATTCCTCAAAAAATCTACTAAAAGCTATACTGTTAACTTTAAAATTAATGTTTAACCTTTTTTGATCCATTTTACATTTCTAAATACCTCTGAGAATTCTACCTAGTATTTATAATCACAACTTGAGTATTAGGATTTACAGACTAGATATTAAATAATTATGTAAAAACGAAAAGGAAAGTTGAGTGACTCAGTTTCACTACATTTGATATGGAACTGAGTTTTATTGATAAGCTTATCAGCAGTATCAAGTAGGTTGATATGATCGGCATCCTTATCAAGTTTACAAGAATCATATCTAGTAATTTCAGGAAGACAGAAAAAACATATTACGTTCTACAATAATTTATAGCCGCTTACGTCAACAAATAAATCTTTTTAGCGCCAAAAAACTATAGCAAAACTGGAAGATTCGACTTGAGGAAATTTTTAGACTCGACTTGAGGAAATTTTTAAGTACTAAAATCGTAGTGTCTATGGATTAACAGTGCGGATGCCAAAACATTATGTTTTAGAGAGAGAATAAGAAGCGGTGCTGAGCTTGGACCCCAATGTAGATCAAGAAGTCTTGATCGAACAGCGCTCACCTTTACGTAATTACTGGCGTGGGGAATACCCTACAATCTCTCGCGCAATAATTAACACGCCTGGTACTGTCGCAAAGTGGCCATGCGTTTCTATTTGAAGGTTCATAAGAATAAAGTCAGCGTAAACAAAAAGAAAAACCTCAGGGAGACCATTGTATCTTGTTTAATGCTATCATTCACGGTCATGGTACTGGAAGCCATACCGCCGATCGCTGCTATTAGCTAGTACTTCCTAAAGCTACACCAAAAGCTGAACATTCATTACTTGTTCCATATTTAAAGCAAGAAATGCTAAGATTTGATAAATTCGACATTTTTTTTTTATTGCCCTTGTAGGCAGACGAGCATACGGCCCACCTGATGGTGAGTGGTTACCGTCGCCCATGGACTTCAGCAATGCCAGGGGCAGAGCCAAGCCGCTGCCTACCATTCATTCTTTTTCCAAGCATTAGTAGCATTGAATATGATTTTTATTTATTTATTTTTATTGCTTAGCTTAGATGGATGAAAGAGCTCACAGCCCACCTGGTGTTAAATGGTTGCTGGAGCCCATAGACATCTACAACGTTAATGCGCCACCCACCTTGAGATATAAGTTCTAAGGTCTCAAGTATAGTCACAACGGCTGCCCCACCCTTCAAACCGAAACGCATTACTGCTTCATGGCTGAAATAGGCAGGGTGGTGGTACCTACCCGGGCAGACTTACAAGAGGTCCTACCACCAGTAAATGCTATGGTACAAAATACTAAGGTACAAAAGGTAATACACACAAACGCTCACCGCTGCAGTAAACTCATGTACGAGCATTATCCTATAATAACCTTACAGACTCTGGTTTACGGTTACAGATTATGAGTTTATTGATAATATCAATGCTTAAGTTAGATTTTCTATATTACCATTCACTAGTAAAAAAAAATAATGGAAAAATTTGATTCGGGCTCTACACCCCAGCAGAGGGTAATAGGAAAGCATGATGATGATGATGACCATTCACTAGAAACCGATTGTAGATATACTCAATTAATATCATACAAATTTTTTTTTCTCAATTTAATAAATGTGAATTGTGTGTACAATTGCAACCAACAACAATTGTAAAGTTAATACCATCGTGCAATAAACTATATCTAATATACTGTATAATTATTAATAATAATCCCCAGACAAGTCACACACAGTCATCTGGTCCCAAAGGTGGATTCCCTGTACATGTATGTTTAAATAGATACATACATATATATTTACTAAACAACCAGGAAATGAGCAAATAAAAAATATTGTAAGCATACATAGGTAGATTACACTATCCTGATACATTTTACTAACTGTAACTACCGAATTGAAATCAGTATATATTGCTAGGACAACAGTAGTCATGAGGTGGCCTATTTGTTAATCTGCCAGTTAATATAGAAGTAATATTAAACTATTGTATTATTATTGTGCTATGATTTGTGAACTAAGTAATTATATAAAGCCCTATAAAGGCATATTGCATGTATATTAGTAAAAAATATTTTTACAATCTTGTATCTTATAAGTACATACAAATTTGTTTTTATGTAAAGCTAACAGCACAAAGTTAAATGCTTGATTTGAATTAAATTAAACACAAATAATTGCCAAAATACAATATTATTAATTTGATATGCTAGTGCCAATTTTCCTACACCTTTTATCGATTGGTAAGTATACTATATTAGTAAATATATTATTTGTATACACTTACAGTTTGTGACAGACTCTCAAAATTATTTCTTGATCAAATACTCAACTTCCTGCAGAACCAGAGCAGCTGACTTTTAAAGATTACCAACTTAAACATCTTATACTCACCATAAGAAGCGATCTTGATGTTGGGATCGAGGAAATGTAGTCATTTGTAGAAGATCCTTGTGACGATTGACTATCACAGGAAAAGTCTGATTGATTTGAGGGACTATCACTTATTTCTAGCTTCATCGTCATCAGTTCGTACACAAAATCCAATAAACAAACAATTCACAGCAATTTACGTAGTTCCACAACTGTTTGTTGACGTTATGAAATCTTCATAGATTACCAAATAATCATATGATATTACACACGATGTATCCCAAACGAATAATTCATTATTTTCTTAGAGAACGAATGTGAACGCGAAATTTTGGTTTGACAGATTGTGTATCATGTGTTGTGTATGTGACAAAAGTCAAGTCAAGAAAATCAAATATAGCGCCTCAAAAAAGATTAGCCACAAACTCGATCACAACAATGATGACTCATCATTTGCAGTTCGCACGACACATTATTGTGTTGAGGTGACGTCGTCATCGCTTTGGACTTTGGGGATGCCCTTCTCTCTCTGAATTTTTCGAGAAGTGTTTCGAAAAGGTGTAACCGCCTAACTTTATCAAGTTTTTTGTTACTGTTTGGACGTATCGTTCAACGTTCAACATTGTACAATCACAGAATTGAAGGATGATCTCATCGTACAAATATAGGCATGGCGTGATATCCAGCCAATCAGAATCAGTCGTTTTTGTGACGTTCCAGCATTTTGCTTTACCTGGAATTACAATGTTACCTACCACAAGAACTCAAAAAGTATAACCTATGTGACTTTTTTAATCTGTGCCTAAACAAATTGAAATATTTAGATGGACTTTTTGGCGGGAACGCGAGGAGTGAAGTGGTGTGATTTGTTTTATTTTGTCTATTTAGTGTTTCTTCAGGTTTAAATGTGTAATAACGGTGGTTTATTAACTGTTTAATATCTGTAAAAGTGCACAAAAGTGGGAAAATGAAACAAAGCTGCTGGACGTAACTTCTCGGGTTCCTCCAAAAAGTCTACTGAAAAAATCTCAGTAAATGACCACCATTTTACTGAGATTATATTTCATCCCATATCACCACATTTCATTTAATTTCATCTCAGTTGATTAATTTCATTTCTCAAATTAATCATCTTCATTTCATTTCATTTATCTCCATATTATCATTTTTCATAAAAATAAGAATATAAATTAAAATAAGACATGACTTAAAGGTCTTAGTTACCAGGTCATAAAATCTCTTAAAAATATATATATATATTTAGATGGACTTTTTGGCGGGAACGCGTGTGTGATTTGTTTTATATTGTCTATTTAGTGTTTCTTCAAGTTTAAATGTGTAATAACGGTAGTTTATTACCTGTTTAATATCTGTGAAAGTGCACAAATGTGGGAAAACGAAACAAAGCCGCTGGACGTAACTTCTCGGGATCCTCCTAAAAGCCCACTGAAAAAATCTTAGTAAATGACCACCATTTTACTGAGATTATATTTCATCGCATACCTATCATCTGTTATCATTTCATTTAATTTCATCCCAGTTGATTAATGTCTCAAATTAATCATCTTCATTTCATTTCATTTCACTCCATATTATCATTTTCATAAAAATAAGAATATAAATTAATATAAGACACGACTTAAGGATCTTAGTTACCAGGTCATAAAATCCCTCAAAAAAAATAATTTAGATGGACTTTTTAGCAGGAATGCGAGGAGTGTTTTTTTTTTTTATTGCTTAGATGGGTGGACGAGCTCACAGCCCACCTGGTGTTAAGTGGTTGCTGGAGCCCATAGACATCTACAACGTAAATGCGCCACCCATCTTGAGATATAAGTTCTAAGGTCTCAGTATAGTTACAACGGCTGCCCCACCATTCAAACCGAAACGCATTACTGCTTCACGGCAGAAATAGGCCGTGTGGTGGTACGTACCCGTGCGGACTCTCAAGAGGTCCTACCACCAGTAATTATGCAAATTATAATTTTGCGGCTTTCACTTTTATTACACGATGTTATTCCTTCACCGTGGAAGTCAATCATGAACATTTGTTGAGTACGTATTTCATTAGAAAAATTGGTACCCGCCCGCGGGATTCGAACACCGGTGCATCATTTCAACACGAATGCACCGGACGTCTTATCGTTTAGGTCACGACGATTTCAAACGACGGCGGCTTTGTTTCATTTTCCCACATTTGTGCACTTTCACAGATATTAAACAGTTAATAAACTACCGTTATTACACATTTTAACTTGAAGAAACACTAAATAGACAAAATTAAACAAATGTCACTCACTGGTCCAATAACTATCAGTTGCTTTTTAAATGTCTTGCTTGGTATTTAAAATTACAGGCTCTCGAAGACACTATCTATTTTTTCGTTTAATACACGTAATTTTTGTACTATGTAATATATAATGCAAAGAAGCAAAAAGTTTTTGCTTCTTGGTATAAATTATTTAGCATTAAATATCAGAATTGTTTAACTTTAAAGACTTATTTAGCAGGAACACGATGAGTGAAGTTCTGATTAATTTTATTCTGATTCAATTTAAATGTTCTTCAATTTGAATATTTAATAACAATGCAGTTAATAATTAGTTTAGCATCTGCTAGACACTACTTCTTGTGTTCTTCAAAAAGTTGACAAAAATCTCAGTACCTAGACAATATTTTCCTGAACTTTATTTCGTCACATCACGTTTCTATCTATCACTATTGGGTTTCACCTTAATTAATAACAGTTTTAAATAAATCAACTTCCCTTCAATTCATCCATTTAATTTTTCATTTAAAATAAATAGTAATAATTAGACCTTTTGGTGTGAAGCTTTCGTCTGTCCTGTTTGAAAAATGGAACCTGTACATACATGACTTTCGACTGTCATATGAAAATGTCAAGATATTGTTCATAATTTCCTACATAGAATTTCGAGCCGATAGTTTGAAAAGAAATTTTAATAGATTCTATAGACATCGCCCTATCACACACTATTAACTCATTTAGTGTTTTAATGCCCTTTATTGGCTTAGAATAAACAAGAAAATAATAACATGTTCTAAAAGAGAACAATCGTAAAATATTTTAAATGTCATATTAGTTCTATCATAGTAAAGATAAATAGAAAGATACCTAAATGTTGAAGTTTCAAAATAGAAAAACAGTTATTATTTCTATTTTATGAAGCTTTAATTAATCATTGAAACATTTGCACCCTGGTAAGGAAACTTACAATGTCACACAGCCCCCAACTTAACCTTATTACTAATAAAAAACATAATTTTAGAAATATGTCAGGGAAAAAATGTAAACACTGCGGTTCATCGGAGATAGAGGTAGATCCCGCACGTGGCGATGCAGTCTGTACAAGTTGTGGTACTGTACTTGAAGATAACATTATCGTTTCTGAGGTAGAGTTTCAAGAAAATGCTCATGGAGGAGCCTCTGCAATTGGACAGTTTGTATCTGCGGATACTAAGGGAGGAGCTACAGGTTTTGGTAGAGGTAAATAATTTAATTTCTTTCCAATTCATCAGTTAGATTATTATTTTTAATAATAATAGAAAAATTCATAATTAGCATGATAATAAAATGTTGACAAATAAGACCTTAGTCTTCTATTACTGAGCAAACTGAAAAGTATTCAGAATATTAGAAATAGTCAAATAAAGATCACAAATGCAAGATTATACTATAAAGTAGTTTAGTTTTATTTATGACTTACAAAAACCAAAGAAAATTCTATGATACATTCTTTTCTCAGCCTTCAATGCTGGTATTGGTCAAGAGTCAAAAGAGATCACATTGAGGAAAGCTAGAATTGGTATCACAGCATTATGCCAGCAACTTCGTCTAAACCAACAATGCATTGACATTGCCTGTAATTTTTACAAAATGGCCTTATCCAGACATTTGACTATAGGCAGGCCGGTAACACATACCCAAGCTGCATGTGTTTACATGACCTGTAGGACAGAGGGGACCCCTCGTATCCTTTAAATATCTATCTTGAACTTATTGGTATGAATTGTCTATTACATTCGCAGTTCATCATGTTGCCCATGATAGTTATTGAAAATACTTGTAACATTATTAGTTTTTAATGTAGTGTTGAAAAAGTAAAGTATAAAAATAAACCAGCCAGTGAAGTTACAAGCCTGGATAATTTGCACAGTAAAGTTTGCTATTTATAAAACTTAAATTAAAAATTGTATATTATATTATTATATCATTCAGAAAATTTAAAAATGAATTTACTCTGCAGTCAGAAAATATATCATATATAATTTACTCAGCAGAATTAACTATTTGTAATAAATTTTTGTAATAGCAGATTTTTCACTAAAACAGTTTATTTTCTCAAAATGTTCCCAGAATCATTGTTAAAATCTGTGATATTCCTAGTTTAGTAAATAATTTATCTTCAAGTTTTATTTAAAAACCTACATTCTAAGCCATTTTTTATTTACAATGGATAAATGTCCTATTATATAAAATTAGATCTGCTAATTGATGTAAGTGATGCTGTACCATTGTGCTGCTATCAACTTGGTCGAGCATATTTCAAACTGTCACGGGCTCTGTGCATCAACATACCTCCTACTGGTAAGTTTTTTTAATTTTTTAGCTACTATGCAGGTTTAATGTGCAAATGGTCTTCCACAAAATTAAGAAAAGAATTTCCAAGCTTCATAAATTGTTTTCTTAGTTTGTATAGATAAGCTTCAATTTATTTAAAAGCTGTAATGACAATTATATTCATAGACAGGCAATTAAGAAATAACTCGTTTTGCAACATTAAAATCCTATATTGTTTAAGCTCTATTCTACATTATGCAATTGATGAAATACAATTTCATTTTCTTTTAAAGTTTATCTTTTTAAGTTGTTGTTTTCGTGTAAAAAAAACAAGGACAAAAGTTGAAAATGCAACTTATGGTTTTATAATAAATATTGATTGCAGACACAGCTAAATTAATCAAATAATAACTTCAAAATAAATCGGACAGTAGAGAAAATAATGTTTAATTATTTATTATTCCAAAGAATTTATTGAATAGATCTAATTTCTAATAGCTTAGAGAGCTTTTACAACACCCATATCACATTCTCTTATAACTCTATTAAAGTTCAACAATATACATAAGATCTATCATATTTTCAACAAAACAAATTTTAACACTTTGGGAATGGTTAAGTATGTGTTAACTATACATAATATTTAATTGAATTTTCTCAGCCCTGGTTCATACTGAATAGTAATTGACAGGGTGATTAATAGGCTTTTGTCAGTCTTCATTTGGACTAGAATTCTTAATAGCAGGAGCACATATAGTAGGTCCATAATAAATGAGTTCAGGTATTTGTCCTCCTTGCACTCCAGTACCATTAGTACTCTCAGAAGAACAGTGAAACTGGAATGTCACTGTGCCCATATACACCTCACTCAAGCCTTCTTGTCCAAAATAGCTTAATTCACTCCCATCTAGTATTGCTGATGCAGTGTAGAAATATTCAGGTTCAATTTGAATGGGGTTTTCAAAGTATACATGAAAAGTGTTGCTTGAACCATCAGAGAAGAACTTTGTATTATTCTCTGCTAGAACTCTTCCGAGGCGTTTTAATTCAATTTTAACATTATAATCAGCTGCACCATTTGAAGATCCATAAAGTCCGAATCCAACAACAAATATTCTTTTATCTACACAGAACTGTATAGAGTCACATCGTCCTCTGTACCTCCACTGATTACTCCTGTAGGCACATGATTGAAATCTGTGGCAAATCTGCAAACAAATAAATATTAACTTCACAGCCATTAAATAATTGAAGTAAAGTGAATTTTGACATATATTTACCTGAGCTTTCAATCCAGCTCTGGATTTAATGGGATAAGATAGCATTGGTTTACTGCATGCAGTAAAATGCAAGAATATATCTATGGTTTCTTGCGGGGTTAGTATTCCAAGTTGAGCAGCACTGTTTGCAAATTCTTCTAAAGACATTGTGGGAAATCTGATCAAGTATATGGCATTTCCAAGCATCGCTCTTTTGTTAATCGGTGAAGGATCTATATCTCTACGCATACATTCAGCATGTGCCCATGCTAATGCTGACTCAAATAAGTTAATTTCTTTACAGTTCAGAGTTTCCCTTGCTAACACTGACTCCAATGTCGACATATCAATGTCCACAAACCCTTCTGATGTCAAAGCCATTTCAGCCTGGAATAAAATGGCTATATTACTTATGGTGTAGGAAAAAAACTGCAATACAATTTGTAATATTTATTTTATTTATTAAAAAAAATAAGTAACATAACATTGATATAACAATAGTTACAGTACATCACTTTAGTTAATTAATATCAAATTGTATTGCAGCTAATATAGCTTGATAATAAATTTACCTAAGACTAGAAATACATAAAAATGAGGATAGGAATGTTACATCACAGCAAAAATTAACACTGAAATCAAAACCTAAAAAGTTTAAAATTATTCTTGGCACAAATGTGGTTAAGAGATTCATTGAGTGTATTTTATGTTCAATTACAGTTATAGTTATAATATTTTGGATATATTCTCAATACTGTTGTAACTTTCTGGACTGGATAAGTTTTGGCTTGAAGATTCTGATAGTTCCATAAGCATACTACTGTAGGATGATGAAGGTTCTAGACAAATGGTTGCCAGGTTTTCACTTGATTCACATACCTGGGCATCTATGACCTCCCAGCATCTCTGCATTAGTTCAGGCTCCTCAAAAAGTCGAGACTGACTTAAAAGAAGGCATGCATTTTTTGCTGTGAGACTAGTTTCCAAATAATTGACACATGCCTTAGCCAGATGAGGTACAATATATTTTTTGGCTACATAGAGAGTTGATAATACAGTATCTGCCTCCAGTTGGATTTCATCACAGTAAATATACCTGAAAATTATAAAATGAAATTAAAAACGATCAAAACATAGTATATATTTTAACAAAAATGAAAACAACCTTAAAAAAATTAATAGGAGAACATTGTGAATGTAGTTGAATGTTAAGCATAACTCAAAAACTACTCAGATCTTAATAAAGTTTGAATGGGACGTTAAAAAAAAAAGAATCATTTTGATGATCAGTTCACCTAGAGTAAGCTGTGAGGTAATAAAGAAAATGGTAGAAAATTGTTGACATATTTCTTTTTTGAAGTAAGTTCAAAATAAACTGTTAAAAGACAAATCCTCTTACTTTAGTAAAGCAAGGAACGCAGATGGCTCTACATCTGGAACCTCAATTTCTTGTTTACATTCTGCCAAACCTCCATAAAACATAGCATAGAAGACTGAACTTGCAGTTGCTAACACATATTTGTGTGCTGGTATAATCTTTGTGTGTCCTGTAATGTTAATTAGCAAAAATTACTCGCTTTTACCTATCTCACTAATTTTATTTTATTGATAATAAATTCTATCGTAAATTGTATTACATAACTTCACTTAGATCTTATTTGTACTCACAAAAAAGCTTTTGAAATGTTAATTATGAAAAAAAAAGATTAACCTGGGGCTCCGACAATAAAAGTAATATCAGACATTAGCTGGTTATTGAACATAGCAGCGTTTCTCTCTCGAACTGTAGGCTTTGTCGCTTGCCAGTTGGGATCCAGGGTGGCGGTACCAGGAGGTGCTGGCGAACTCGCTGGCGACGTGGTCGCACTTGATGACCCACAAGGTGAGGGAGGCCCGCTATAGCACTGAGACACCTGTGTACCAGTCTCTCGCTGTGATACAGTGTGTGGTGGAGACAGGGAAAGCCCGCCACCATTGTTAATATTTTCTGCTGTAACAGGATTTGCAAACCTTTAGTGGTGGGTTCCGATGTTAATGACGAACTGAATTAATTCAATGCTATTTAAAAATTATATTGTGGCGGATAATGATATAGAACTTTGTATTATAATTTTATTGTTACACATGATAGCATCTGGATAATGCGGAGCAAATAAAACTATTTTTGTTCAAAATCAATACTACCTATCTTACCATTCATCCAAGTATTGGTTTGCGCTACAGACATGCTATCCCTACTGTCTTGCAATCTTTTTTGAGGTTTCGAAACAATTCTAGAACACAAGTTCGACATTGTGAACGTGAGTCCCGTTTAATTTTATAATAATAAACAACAAATTCCAAACATTAGATCCGCGATTTACTCAGACTTTGACATCGAGTCGTCGGCCATTTTGCTTTGTTTTTGGTTACTTGCTTACGGCTCATGATTACTGGGCTTTTTAGCTTAATTCAGTTGTAATAACCTTTTTTGCTAAATTATTTAGTTATAACTATAGAATTTACTCAGTATACAATTGACATTTAGTGAAAAACTGGGGACCTTCCATTTCCCTAAAGTAGTACCTCAAGTAGTTTCTCAAACTAAATGTCTAAAAATACTCCATTTTTATCTTGTACACTGTGAATAATGGTTTCAATTAGAAAAAATATTTTATCTTCACGTTCTAAATTGGCGGTTTTAATACAAGCAAGCAAGATAGTCCTTACTTCTTCATAGTTTTAAATGATGTTATAGGTGTAGTACTAAACCGGTCACTCAGATGGTAATGAGAGCCAACCAATATTACAGTACCGGTAGGCAGCGGCTTGGCTCTGCCCCTGGCATTGCTGAAGTCCATGGGCGACGGTAACCACTCACCATCAGGTGGGCCGTATGCCCGTCTGCCTACAAAAAAAAAAAAAACCCGGGCAAAACATTAACAGGTAAATTACCCTGCACGTGGGGTCGCTGTCGCTGTCTTTGTCCCCGTTGCGCTGGTTCCTGACAATTATATTCAGCGAAACGCCCGTCTTCGTCGATTAAACTTTCAAAAAAATCCACGCCGCTGTTCATTGAGGATCGGACTTGTAAATGACACGCATACCAAAGAAAACTGAAAAGATAAATGAATAAATTAAAATGTAAATTCCGACATAGTAAGGGTTATCGCCTCGAGTATTGAGAAACAATAGCGAACTATTTGGGTGCTAAATTGTGTCAAAATTGTATAAATAAATTAAAAGAGTTCTGTCGTTGTGCGCGTATTACGCAAAGCTGGATAGATTTCGATCAAACATTTTAGTGCTACTTCTTAATAACAACGAGTTCTTATTTTAAAAAAAGACTACGATGTCAAANCCGACATAGTAAGGGTTATCGCCTCGAGTATTGAGAAACAATAGCGAACTATTTGGGTGCTAAATTGTGTCAAAATTGTATAAATAAATTAAAAGAGTTCTGTCGTTGTGCGCGTATTACGCAAAGCTGGATAGATTTCGATCAAACATTTTAGTGCTACTTCTTAATAACAACGAGTTCTTATTTTAAAAAAAGACTACGATGTCAAATTTTTTAATATTATTTTGGAACTGTGCGCGCTTACGGTACTACTCGATAGATGGCGTTTGTTTTCCAAATTCCGCTATGGTTAAATTATATACATTAAAATACACACATACATAAATATATTTATTTTTACTGGCGTAGACCCGACTTCGCCAAAATTGATACTACTTTTTCTCCAATGTGCATTTTTATCTAAGATTTTTGTAATCATGAATTGAAGTCTTGTTTACTGCGTAGTCTATTAGGGTTGTTTTTTTTTCATTTAATTTTCATTTCTTTTTAACAGAGAGAAGTCTTCTGACTAGTAACCGCATAAGGTCATAAAATATCCTTAAATATCCTTTTATCAATCGGTTTAATGTAATTTCCACTAAATTCAAGAAGAAAAGGGATCGACGGTAATACAATAATTGCATTGCTTGCATAATAATCGTGTTTTTTTTCGTTTTTGCCCGCTTTAACAAAGGAGGACGCCTATGTTCGATTGTATTAATTTGATGTTTTTTTTTATGAATGAGGGATTAGTCGTGGCCCAAAGGCCTTTCTAGTTTCACACAGACAGGTGGGTGAGCAAGGGCTTAGCCAAGAGGGGTGGAATTTGCTAAAAGCTACCCGAGCGCCTCCAAGGGAGACCTAACACCTCAAAGTAGCTGGTTCACGAATGAATCTACTACCGGATCAGTATCGCAAGAAACTCAGTGGGCTGATGTATGGGTTTAGGTTGCACGAGGAGGGTTATCGGGGTCCCTAAGTCTGATCGTAGCGTTGGAGCTGAAGACGTCTAATGCAACATTTGGATCTAATAGATCCGTAAGGACGTGTCTAGGGCGTCGACGTATTGAACGATCAGTTCGTTTATTTGTCGTCTATTTAGGTAATAAGTTGTTATACCTTTTCTTATTCCTTCTTGTTAGTCGTCTTGCCCAGTCTTGAAAAGTCACATTGTCAAATCTCCGTCTGAGTCTATGTCTTTTAGTCATTGTAGGTCGTATATCCTGTCAAAGAGGTTGCACGCCACGAAATTTAACTTTACCGATATCATGTCATTTATGTTTAATTAGAAAATTCTTATTTTTTTAAAGGGTTTTATGTCAAGATGGTCCCATTGTTCAAATTCATTGAACTTGATTTAGAACTGTTGTATATTAAAATTATAAAAATATATGTTAAATATTAAAATCATAAGATTCGTGTTCTTGTTCATGTTTAAGCGTTCGCGCTTCGTTTATCGGATTATTATAATTATACGAATATTGTAACGGTTCCAATTAAGTTTTCTTGTATAGGGTTTATCAGCGTGGAATGCCAGTACCGTGGCGCGCGCTAGATATGCATACTAATAAGTTTAAATAATGGATAATATTCCCAGTGTATTCGTATCGAGCGACTATGTCGATAATTATTGTAATATCGTATATCGTAATCCCTAGAAATTATAATTTGCGTAATTACTATATAATTTAGACATAGGTCTCTTGTCGCAAGATACGTGGCGGTATGTACGTTGATATATCTTTAAGATCCAGTAAACACTAAATACCGGGTAGGTCTTTAGTTCGTCTATATATATTCGCAAAAAAAACTGAATCACTAACCAATCCTGGAAACCCACGTTTAATTAATGTGAGCTAATAGTTAGTATGCAAAACGTAAAAACCTTGTTATGTAACTGTTTTAATACAAATAGAAAGTGCAGAATTAATGTATTTAATTCTTTAATATTCATATCTACTATGTGTATTAGACTAGATCGCGTATTTTTTGGATTTTTTTTGATTGAATCTTAATAATACCATATATACTAAATAGCAACAATCCACCTTAATTGTACATAACATAAATGATTTATCTATTTAGTTATTTTTTATTTATTTTTATATTATAGTTAGTTAGAAAAAAATATATTATTTTATGCCCGCCGTTACAAGGTTACGTTGTTGAATTTTGACGAATTGTCAGATGTTACCTATTAAAATTACCTCACGTTAATATATAATATTTTAACTCGCATAGTGGCATGACGTATTGTGAGACCGCGTTGGAATAAATATTGACTGGAATAATTATCGTTGGAATAATTATGTACTGCCTTTAGTATTTATGCACTTCGTTTCGAATAACAGAAGTGGTGTTATGATAAAAATAATGCGCACACAACCTTACATCTTAAGTGGGGATACCAACATTCTTGCACCTGTGTTCCGTTAAACATTAAATACCAGTTGGACTGTAGACGCGGCTCGGTATTCAAATACCGGAATCAATAATGTGAATGAATACGAAGCGGGAGCTCATTTTATTTGGTCTTATATATTATATGGCTTCATCGTTCTGGACAGATAAAGTATGTATAAATAAAACACAAAACGTTTCATCAAATGCTGGCAAAGGCTCAGATGCTGTTTTCGGTACATGTACATCATCGTTGATAATCCTAATCTCACAAATTTGGTTTTCGTTGTTTTGTACCTGTTCCATGGCGAGGTATCGGAGGATTTTTAAAAATATGTAAATGATTACAAAGAACAATATACTTTGCTGAGTTGTCGAAGATACAGAGAATTATAACGGTCATTTTTTAGCTCTGCAGATTTGCCGATATGATGAATAGAAATGCTTTAGCACGCGTGATAGCGGTACTCTTTTCACGTCATTACGGATCCTCTCGATCCATTAACGGTGTTTTTAGGTATCACAAGCACCGGTCACCGTTCTTGTCGAACCCGTAGCTTGCGACGAAGGGCTCGACGAGCGAATTAACCCACAGACACAGCCCACTGAGTTTCTCGCCGGATCTTCTCAGTGGGTCGCGTTTCCGACATGGTGGTAGATTCTGTGAAGCACTGCTCTTGCTAGGGTCAGTGTTAGCAACACTACGGTTAGAGCCCCGTGAGCTCACCCACATGTTAGGGCGAAGCTGAAATAGCCTCTTAATGCTACCAGCATAGGCAGGAAAAAAAAAGTACTCTTCTTGATTAATATAAGAATGTAAAATGTGTGCTTTGTACGTACGTCGTTCATGCGTCCGTTCGTCGTTTATTTGATTGAGTTAAACCTTTGTACTGTTGTGGTTCGTACTTCGTGGTAGGTTTCTGGCGTTGTACCCACAACGAAATCTAATTGGCGCGTAATTGGTTTCAATAAAACTGTATAAATATCATCACGAATGATCAAATAAAAGACGTACGTTACCAAAGTAAAAAAAAATTTGATTTTCAAAAACACGTTTGTTTGATTCTAAAAATATATTTGCGCCTTCACAGACTTCTCAGATTCAGCCTTCTCGCGAAATCATACTTTATTTTATTGGAGCTAGAGGTCACTTTTGACACCTTTTAGCTGCTAACCGCCATAGATACTTTTGAATGTATAAAAAGGTAAGTTTATATACAAAATACATGGTCGCGGGGAAGGTTATGTTTCGTACAATACTGTTTTAATTGAATCGTTTGAACAGAAAGATAGATTTATGTTTATGGGTGGCGCGCTTAGAAATTGTATTCCCGATCCTGCGGACAGAATGGAAAGCAGTCGACGTCGCCGCAAACACGTCATTTCGGATCCTCCCGATCCACTAACGGTGCTTTTAGGTACCTCAAGCACCGGTCATCGTTCTCGTCGAACCCGTCGCTTGCGACGAAGGGCTCGACGAGTAAATTAACCCTCAGACACAGCCCACAGAGTTTCTCGCCGAATCTTCTCAGTGGGTCGCGTTTCCGATTCGGTGGTAGATTCTGCGAAGCACGGCTTTTGCTAGGGTTCGTGTTAGCAACGTCGTCAGGTTTGAGCCCCGTGAGCTCACCTACTAGTAAAGGTTACGCTGATATAGTCTCTCAAGGCTATCAGATTAGGTAGGAAAAAAAAATTAAAAAAAAAAATTAGAAATTGCACGAGTAGTGTTATCTACTTTACCTATTACCATCCAAAAGTGGTTCTTAAAACCATTAAGCCCGGACCACGTCTTACTGTGAGCAAGGTCACGAGAATAACAAGGCGATCGAATCGTGTTTTAGTATCCTTACATTTAAGGAAGTAGGTGATGATAGATGAACTAATCATCATTTATTTATTCAGTATGCTAGCACTGTATATGACGATTATGTTTAACTACTGTAACCCGGCACGTTCTTCTGGACAATAATATATGATTTGACTTTGATTCGGTCATCATCAAACTTAACAGGATCATCCGCTGAAGATTGTTTGAAAATTTAATCGATATAATTCCCAACGTTTTGGAGTCTATAGTGAACATACATTTAATATAAATGAACATAATATTTTATTAAATCCGCGCTGTGGATATTAATTATTTTATTTCCACAAATTGAATTGATGCGGTCAACGGCACAGCACTATAAGGAAACGATGTTGAATTAATCCTTTCGAAGCGTATAATGGCGATATTACTTTACTGTCATCTGCTCATGCTGCTCAAGGCCTCCGGTTCACCAGCAATCCGTAAAAGATTAGATATAGAGAAACAAAACTAACCGGTAAATAAAGAACACTACATCAGCCTTCGTGAAGAGCCAGTGAAGTAAAATCTTTCCTAGTACCACAGGCAATTTACTAGGAACACAATCAGGCCTTCCCTTCATTTGATTCTTCGGGTCGTACGCCCTTCGATATACATTTCATTTGTCTAATTAAAGATAACACAAATCACATGTCACTTCACTATGTTTTGTTTTTGTTGTTTTTGTTATTCAAAACGGCCGCGACTGTTCCGTCGAACGATTGCGTCCGTTCTCGCTATCGGCGCTGCACGTTCTCCGGCCGGCTCTTGCGCAAGGTTACCCGTAAGCCATAAGGGACACCTGTGTGCTTAGTGCGAGTTTTTTAACGTTCTCGATAGCGTAAAAGTTAACTCATATTTGTACGGTTTCTTTTTTATATTGCTTACATGTGTGGACGAGTTCACAGCCCACCTGGTGTTAAATGGTTACTGGAGCCCAAAGACATCTGCGAAATGCGCCACCCACCTTGAAACATAAGTTCTAAGGTCTCAGTAAAGTTACAACGGCTGCCCCACCCTTCAAACCGAAACGCATTGCTGCTTCACGGCAGAAATAGACGGGGCGGTGGTACCTACCCGTGCGGACTCACAAGAGGTCCTACCACCAGTAATTACGCAAATTATAATTTCGCGGGTTTGATTTTTATTACACGATGTTGTTCCTTTACCGTGAAAGTTAATCGTGAACATTTGTTAAGTACGTATTTCATTAGAATAATTGGGTACGTATTTCATTAGGAAAATTGGGAATGGGATCGTTTGCCTACGTTTGCGGCTAGGGGCGCTGTTCCAACTGCATACAAAGTTGGATTAACTTTTACGTTATCGAGACCGTTAAAAAACTCGCACTAAGCACACTGCCTCTCGCGCGAGACGGAGCGGGGAGTAAACGATGTCATTGTTTATACACAGAGCGAGAGTAATCAGGGCGACATAATTAGGTACATGAAATGACAATTTTTAAGAACCAGTTTCGATGCAACGCAATGGCGCATGACAGGTTCCGTTGCGTGTCTATTATCTAATCGTGCGGTTACGTATCTGTAATAACAAACACAAATTGTTATCATTTCGTTTATTATTTGAACGATAATGTCGTTGCCCTTGTAGAGAGACGAACAAAATAAACATTCCTAAGTTTTTAAGTAATTACTGGTGGTAGGACCTCTTGTGAGTCCGAACGGGTAGGTACCACCGCCCTGCCTATTTCTGCCGTGAAGCAGTAATGCGTTTCGGTTTGAAGGGTGGGGGCAGCCGTTGTAACTATACTGAGACCTTAGAACTTATATCTCAAGGTGGGTGGCGCATTTACGTTGTAGATGTCTATGGGCTCCAGTAACCACTTAACATCAGGTGGGCTGTGAGCTCGTCTACCCATCTAAGCAATAAAAAAAATAAGAAAACAATTACTGTAGAAAATGATACGTATTAACGTTAACGTGTATTACAAATATCTCAATCACATGTTTCATTCCAAAATGAAGTTTAAAATACGGACACTGATATTTATTTTGGGACTAGCTGACCCGGCAGACTTCGTAGTGCCTCAGTCGATAAATAAAAGACCTAAGCTTTTGTATAAAATAAACTTAAAACAAACAAAAGGAACCCATCCGATGGGGGACACATCAAAGGAAAACCAAAATTGTCACTTTTATTTAATTCCGGGCATTTTATATTTATCTACCTTTTAAACCTTCTTTGGACTTTCACAAATAATTTAAGACCAAAATTAGCGAAATCGGTCCTGCCGTTCTCGAGTTTTAGCGAGACTAACAAACAGCAATTAATTTTTATATATATAGATAGATTAAGGTATAACGATATTAAACAATAATACGTTTGATTTCGTATTTTGAAAATATTCGTTGTACAAAAATACTTGAGTGGTCACAATGATATCTAGTTGAATCAATAAATTGAAATTAAATTTAGATTTTCCATACCTAGTCACTAGTAGCCTAAGGGTGAGTCTATTTCAGCTACGTAGATACAATTTGTGAACAAAATCGACGACCTCTTTATGATTACTAGTGGTCCCGTAGTAGTCGAAACTCGACTATAATTAATTGAAATTATAAGTTTGAACATTATTATGGGTCTTTTGTCAAAGACTATTACACTTCTATAATCACAGATTTCGCCAATTTCGAGAAATTATATTAAACATAAACAATATTAACCTATTCTAAATTTGATTACAGATTTTAAGCAATAACAAAATTTTTACAATAAACAAAGAGTATATGTGTGTCAAATACATGGTAGTGTGTTTAATGTTTTCTTTATTGATTTAATGTATTTTTATGCATAATTAAAAAAAAAATATTAGTACTCTGCACTTCTCTATATTCTCTATAAGTGTGGGAAATTTCATACTCCTCCGCGCAATTTTTGTAAAAAGGGGTGGTACAGAGTTATTGCTTCACGTATTAATATATAGATGTGCTGTATCTACCGTTTCTGGAAGTAAACCACCCTGGCTGAGTTCGTGGTTGCCCATATGTTCTAATGAAAATGGAAAGGCTTCCGGGCTACCGATAATGCTACCTTTGTAAAAAAAAGGAAACCAAATTAATTTTGAACAGTAACATCAGATATTTTCTGCTCATAGTCGGAAGTCAGTCATTCAGAGGGAATGACTTAAAAATTAATTAAATGTTCGTTCAGTAGTTCAGTTCTTTGCTAATTAATGGTGATAATAATCATGCTTGCTTTGTCAACTTTCATGAATGTCTAAAGAGTTCGTAGCAATAAACTTTAGAGATTCTTTTAATTACTTGAAAAGAAATTAGGTGAAAAATAATTGAATAGCTATAGCTGAGTTCTTTGTGTACTAAAATCTATATTAGGAAACTCGATAGATTCTTTTAATTACTTGAAAAGAAATTAGGTGAAAAATAATTGAATAGCTATAGCTGAGGTCTTTGTGTACTAAAATCTATATTACATGGCGTCGACACATGATATTGTAGATATATTTGGTTAACAGCTTTACATCGGTCCTGTCTGACGTGGTTGTTTGAGAACGAAATTAGCGGGTGGTGACATTAGTTATTAAAAAAGAGGTGTCAGATTAAGTTAGGCAGCGGCTCGGGATTGCCGTTACGTGACATATCATGACCATAATTGATCCGTGATATTAATAATAAAACTAAGACGTGTAAGATCCTCAGTGGTTCTTTGAATTCAGTTGGAACACCGACGGCAAACGATCCCATTTCCAATTTTTCTAATAAAATACGGACCCAATTTTTCTAATAAAATACGTTTGAATTAACGTTTACGCTATCGAGAACGTTAAAAAACTCGCACTAAGCACATTGAACTAACTATGTCATTCGCGTGTAGATGCTATGTACAATGACTTTTCCGAAAGGATTCGTTTAAAAGCTATATACTATAAAGTTATATATTATATACTGAGTTAGTCAGTTTTTATTTGGTCACGATTTTTTTTTNAACTAACTACGTCATTCGCGTGTAGATGCTATGTACAATGACTTTTCCGAAAGGATTCGTTTAAAAGCTATATACTATAAAGTTATATATTATATACTGAGTTAGTCAGTTTTTATTTGGTCACGATTTTTTTTTGGTCATACGTTAAATACTTTGAAAGCGGAGAGTTTTACAGAAGCGCGTAACGTTAATTCGTGTCACGTACCTCATTTACCTGTACTGGAAGTAAGTCGAGGTCACACGCTATCACCGACTCGGCCTGTAACATATAATCGACACCTTATATTCACAAGGAGCCGGCGTGTGGGTGGCTCACGCAGCAATTGGTATTCGCAACTGAGTTTCGTCGTCAGTGTCGTCACCGACAATTCCATATCGTGCGTTGGATTAGGTCACCTTTGTTTTATTATATCGTTCATTTAGCATCGTAGGATTTCGAGATTCGTGATCTCGCCTGTGGGCAATGCTACTGCCATTGGCTAGGGTGTCACACGGTATTAAGTGCGGTAGACGAAAGGTTATAAAAAATTGTTCAAAGTGTTTAAATTATTTATTACGGCAGTTTTATTGACGATAAAATGATTGTTTATCTTATACATACAGCAGTGGAGCAGTCAGATGTTGTCGTATCCTAAAAAAAACATAAACAACCTAGAACCCTATTGCTATTCCAGAGACCCCTACCGAGTCTAATTGTATATTTAGATTATCTAGGTACCCACTGAAACATACATAAACAGTTTAATCAAAGTCTGTCCAGTCGAATGCACATACAATAATTCAAAATAAGTACATATATGTAACTAGTTCATAAATACTGTTACATAATATCGTTTCTTTTTTTCAACTTTTTAATTATTTTGAATTTGGAACACGTAAGCATATAAGGTACATATTAAGAACATCGTTCGATTTTGCACCATTTCACATATTTGTTTAATATTACATTACTTCATTTAAAAAAAATGTATTTTCATTTGTAACAGAAATTATGGCTGGACTAGGTATATAAAGAGAGAACGTCAGAGAAGAAAGACGATGTTTTGTTGACGATGTAAATTGCGAAGTCGATGTATTGGCACATAAGATGCGATCAATAGCGATCAATACCACAATATCCTTTTCCATAATCGATGATTTGATTTAAAATAAAATTAATGTCTGCTTTTAATAGTTAATGATATTAATATTTCAAAAGAAAATTACATCTGATAGTTTTAAGTTTGAACACAGCTTTAGTTGCTAAATTATTGACATGGCAAGGCCATTCCGATAATGCCGTTCTCTATTTCTAGTTTTTAGTATTAAAAATTATTTGACGGGTATTACGTCGTTAATACCACAATACCGTCACCACCACGGACCACCTTCTGATCCTCAGGTCGAAATCTCGGTTGTATTAAAGTCTGTCGAACCTTTCAAACCGGATCGCATGACTCTTTCGATTGTTTTTTTTTTATGATTGAAGGATTACTGGTGGCCCGGAGGCCTTTCCAGTTTCACCAGGACAGGTGGGCGAGCAAGGCTCAGCCAAGAGGGTTGGGATTTGCTAACAGCTGCCTGAGCGCCTCCGAAGGGGACCTAACAGTTCAAGAGCAGCTGCTTCGCGAATGAATCTACTACCGGATCGGAATCGCAACCTGCTGAGAAGATCCGGCGAGAAACTCAGTATGCTGATTCATGGGTTAGATTACTCGTCGAACTCTTTGTCGAGTTCGACGAGTACGGTTACCGGGGTCCCTAAGCCTGCTCCTAGTGTCAGAACTGAAAGCGTCTAATGCAAAGGTTATTG